TTAACCGTTACTATGGAGGTTGTCAAGGGCGCTTAAAAAAGTAAGGTTCAGTAAAGTTTGTTTTCCTCAAGTTATATACTGAACTTTAAAAAATGGTTTTCAGAACACGATTCTATAATAAATTTTGAATAAAATAAAACAACAAAATCTTTTTTGAAAAATTTGATATTTCTGAGGGGTATACCACCTTAACAGAATGGCATTTTTTAGTGTAATTTTTTAAACTTTAACACCAAATTAGAGCGCTATCTATTGGTTTTCAGACCTATGTTTTTATACGATTCTTAATCAGCATAAAATTCTCTTTCATAAAAAAGGAGGGGGAGGGGGAGAAACTGCAGTAGCGCCTATTCATTATATACATGTAGTATGTAGATAATGAATATTATTACCATTTCAAATTTATTATAATGTTTATAAATACAAACTTTTTTGCATAATTTTAAGAAAGCTATACGCTGTGTTTTAAAAAACTTAATTATTCCATCAGAAAGATACTGTTTCACATCATCAACTGAGTAAATATGGACAGCCATTTTTAATATATAATATGACCTTAAATTTAAAATTTTACATACCCTAATGAAACGATGAAACTTAACGCATCCGCATAACAGTTTGTAAACTTTTTTAACGACTAACTTTTTTAACGCAACACCGGAAGACATATTGGGTAGATAATAAAATCAAAAACCTATTCCGACGTTTGAAGTTTTGTGTAAATTGATGAACGGAATATAACTAAATAAGTGTTTGCATTGATTTATAAACGCTTTTTAACACAAGCTATTTTTTTAACTTATTGCCTGCACAAACCAAAACTCTTAGTCGATGTATGTACACACCCTGTATGTTCTATCTATTTAGTCAAGTGATGTATGAACACTCTCTGCATGTTCTACCTATATAGTCAGCCGATGTATGAACAATCCCTGAATGTTCTACCTGCAATACTAAACTAGCATAATCTGATAATATGAATACGCTAATTTAATATTATTATTATTAGTCGAGTTACGTCATTTTCTAGGCTTTTCTATTTTAAAGTAGTTTCTAGGCTTTTCTATACGCGTTTTTTTTTTTTTAATTTTATTTACTAACAACGCTTATTACGGGTTGCTTGCTGCTAGTAAATCATGAATGTTAAACATCGCCATGAAACAAAACAAGTATTTTTCTGAAGAATACCCATTAAATTCATGTCATAGAAAAAATAAAATTGATTTGCTTAAAACAATATTTAAAAATCAGCAAATAAATATTTTATCTTCCAGCAAAAAATCAAATATTACAACAGAAGCAAGTTTTATTATAGCTTGGTCCAAGCTTTTAGTATTCCAAGCCTTGGAATATTGCAAGAAGTAAACATCCTTACACCAATGGAGAGTTTGTAAAGCAAAGTCTTTTAGATGTGATCTCAGATTTAGATCCTAATAAATTCAATGGTTAATTTCAAATATTTCTGTTTCTCTATATACAACTGAAAAAAGAATATCTGAGATTAGTGTCGAATTTGAACAGCATTTATTAAATGACTTAAAAAATTGTGAATCATTCAGTTTAGCATTGAATAAATCAACAGATATTCAAGGTTCAAAATTTCAGTGCTTAATAAATGTATAGTAAATTATGCAAGTTACTATGCATGAAGAATTTTCTAATGGTCTTTTACAAAATAATTGATGTTATAAAAAGAATTTTTTCTGTTTTTGTCTAATTTTTTGCTAAATGATGAAAAGTTATTTTTTAATTGTAAAAATTAAAGTAGTTGAACTTAATCGAAGTTCATTGAAATTCTTTATTTTGTAGTGATTTATTTGGTACTTTGCAGTTTTTAGTAACTTATACTATTAAGTGGTTATAGTTCAATGCGAATAAAAGCAAGTTTAATTCAATTATGGTAAAATAATTTTTTTTAAAGAACTTTAGATTTTTATATCTTGCTCCCAGTTGTATTTATTAGAAAATTTATGGTTGTTATAATTGTATTAATTCAAAAAAAATTATGATCTGGAGATGCTTTCTCAATTTTTTCTACTTATGGTTTTCCAGTGTAAATAAAAAGGAATCAGATTTTAAGTAGCCAAGTTTACATTTAAAGAATAGTTTTTATTATAACAAAAACTAAATACTTGAATAAATGGATTAAAAATACTAAACATAAATTAAGTTTATTTATAAAAGTACAATTTCAATTTAAAAAAATTTAAATATTGTTGTATAAAAAATCTAAATTTACTCTCCAATTATTTTTTTAAAGGATGAAGTTGGCATAGCAACATATTTATTTCGGCTCTTCGGCATACCTCAGTATTCTAGATTGCGGCATTTATAATCTGATATAAATGTTTTCAAATTAATATTAAATGCAAATATTATTAATAATAACATGGTTAATAATAAATATTAAATACAAATGTTATTGAAAATTAATAAAAATCTTTTATATTAAAGTACAGCTATAACTAATATAATCCGTTGGAGATCGCATCGGTCAGTAAAATTTAGATTACACTTTGAAGGATTGGATTTAGTGTTTTCCGTATTCATATGCGGCTCTTGCGTCAAAAATTCTGGCTAACGCTGGTTTAAGCCATACATCAAGAGTTCTGAGTTACCCGCCGTACGGGTCTAACCGACTTTCGCCAATGTGATTTTCATCGAGACAGCAACCTAAGACAAACTTATGTTTTTTTTTTTTTACCTCTAGATACACTAAAATAACATTTACCAATTTAGTACATGTCAACTCAGATGAAATAGAAAATAGCACATAATGTTTATCTTACTGAAATTAATATACGACACTATATTTTTTCCTTCAAATTTTAATATTCAAATTTCCCGTAGCATGTAGAGTTCCCGTAACTAAGGGATTTATTATGAATGAAATATCAGTGTATTTCTCTTAATATAATAGAAACTAAAATTAAAAAAAGGTATAAAGATCAGACGATTAAAATTTTTCACATTCTACTCTGATCCAATCTGGTACAAACTAAAGCAAGTATACCAACTCACTTGGGAGCTTTCTAATAAATTAAAAAAGCTAAATTTAAACAAGTGCCGAGGATTTATTTTCACCGTGAAGCAAATAATAAACGCATAATATTCAAATGATATTAGCAAGATAAACTTGGCATTTTTTAAAACTATCAATTAACCAAGTTCAACAGAAACTATTTATGAAGTTAAAAATTTACAATAAATAAGGTTTCTTTTAAACTGTCCGATAGTTTTTTTCTAAATCAATGCATCAAAATCAAGTTCATTAAATCAACGGAATTTTATGAATTATTGTTTTTTAATTTAAAGATGCCAACTCAGATGAAGATTGCTAAGTACAGATGGTATCTGTACTTAGTTCAGTTGTACTCTGTAGTAACTACAGACATTCCATAGTACTATGAGATCCATCATGTACATACCAATTTGGTACAAACTAAAGTATGTACATGTGCACGCTATACAGTGTGTAGTGCGTTTTTTTGTAATATGTTTTGGAACATGACTAGGCTGACTCTTTCTTATGTAAAATCTCTCTCTTTTTCTAAAAATCAACTTAGATACTTTTTTTTTAATGACGGGTAAAAAAAATAGTATTATTAGAAATGAATTATTTAGGAAGCATCAGTAAAAGCTGTAGTAACTTTAAAACAAGACAAAAACTTAGCTTTAAAATTGAATATAAAAATTAATTAATACAGATCTATATAAATAGTTATACAGTTGAGGAAGAGATTTAGAGAATCTATCAATTCTTTTAACTCATTGAAAATAGGAAAGTGTTTCATGCGATATTTCCACATTCTAAAGTTGCCAAAGAGTAAACCATAAAATTATAATGAATAAAAAATAAAATTGCCAAAGAATATACTCCCAAAAAAAAAATATCTAAGCCAGAAAGAAAACTGGTTCAGATATTATTCTGGGAGTTTGAATCTGTTAATATTATTTTTCAATGAAGTAATAAAGCTTCAGCTGCTGGAAGTGCTTACTGCATTTGTATTTACTGTATTAATCATTTGTATTAATCACTTGTAAAACCAAAATTTTGGTTTTACAAGTGATTAATTTTATAAAGAAATAAAATAAAATAAAAGATATTTACAAAAAGTAAAATTTTTAAAAAAGTTATCTTTCTTATGATAAAATTTTTAAAAAAGTATAGTTTCTTATGATAAAGATTGTGTATTGTATATTGTTATTGTATTGTCAAACTTTTTAAATGTATTTATATTAAAAATTGCATTTAATTAAAATATTTTTGATTTACATCTTAAAAACTATTTTAATTTATATAATTTTTTTAAATTTTGGTTGGGTTTAGTAAATATACTCTTTTTCTTTTAAAAAATCTGATCAGCCTTAGTATTTGCAACTAAGATATATCAACTCAGAGAATATTATAGATAATATATTTAATGCTTATTAGGTTGAGAGTTTTTTTCTATAGTTGAAAACACCTTTAATGTATAGTTAAAGCAATACATGTATAATAAATACATAAATTATATTTTGATACAAAAAAAAGATACCAATGTAGATCAATTAGAGTTTCAAAAATATATGAAAATACAAAATCTGTTAGCTTTTGTATTTCCTGTCATTTTTGCTTATCCTCATGTATTTATATAGCCAAGAAGGGGAATATTAATGTTTTAGCATTGGTTTTGATTGATATGGACTCCTACTGTCTAACCTTACATGTTTTTAGGCTGTCTAAGAATAAATCTTCACAGGGTTTTAGAGTTTTTTATTTGCCACTACATCTCTTATACTTACAACTTAGATATTTTTCTGATCGAATGTTTTGATGCCTATTAGACAGACATTTTTATCCATACTTATTTATCCATACTTATATATCCATCTTTATCCATACTTAATTTAAAACTTGAATTTTTAATATATTTTTTATTAATATTAGAGTTATTAAAATTATAGGATACTTATCATAATATAATGTTTATCTAACCAGTGCTGAATGGATCATTGCA